CAACCGAGTGATTCTGTGATTCTGTGACAGGCTCTGAGCCGTGATTCTGAATTTGCTGTCATTTCTTAATGTGTACCACAGCTTTGGAAATATATAGAAGAGTCATCATACAAATTTAAACATGATAAAGCAGTAAAGTGTATTTTAAATATTTGTGCCATTTTACCTCTGAACTGTCTGGAGGTCTAAATTTAGCATTGATTTGAGCAGTGGCATCTCTTGGCATCTCAAACCAGTGAAAATGATATCCTTGATTAGGTGTGGAAATGCCAGCTGTAGCTGTCAGTGCCTTCCATAGGAAGGAATAGCTGTAATGTATGGGGAAGTTTGTCAGTGTGTGTGATCTTGTCTGCTGGGTGAGGGGACCTGCCGTGGGGTAGAATCGAGTTCTTAATGAGGAAGTCATTACCTGGGTTCACTCCAGTCTTCATTCTGGGATCTGACTTATTAGCTGTAAAATGACAGCTAGAAAGTTCGTTTCCTTCAAAACTAATGCTAAATTGTGTTGTACAATTAATGTTGTGAACTTTGTGGGTGGGAGGTGCATTTTCATAATAGCACAAGCAGAATTTGGACAGGGAGTGGGAACAGTTGGGGTCCATGGAGTTCCCGAGCGCGTTGGTGATATTTTCCTGGTTATCTGTGGAAATAAAAGTTGGCTTTGAGGTGGAACGGAGCTGGATCCCCCGATAACACTGCTTACTCTCCTCAAACTTGTTTTTTGCTTGCCTTTTTCCAGGAATCTTGTTTCTGACAAACAGGACTCTCTAGCACAATGCGCAGACTTCAGGAATAGTTTACCATCCCAAGAAGCCATGCTGTGTTCTGGGCCCTTAGCTGTAATACAGGGACGAACATCAAAGTAAGCACTTATTGCTTTGTATGATCAGCGTGTTTGTCTTTCTTCCTATTACTTATTCCTGTACTTGGAACAGTGAGTTAATTCTTAAGATGCTAATGGCACTGAAAACTATCAGTAGCTCAGAGCGTGTCTTGGTTTTTGTTGTTTTAAAAAAGCTTTGCACATTTGTAGTGTGTATCTTAACGTTATTTTGAGATCGTTTGGGGGGCAGGAAAGCATGCTCTATAATTAATTGTTTTAAGGCTTTTCCTTATTGGATGGATAAAGTATTTGACAATTCTGTACATGTAATATTTTGATTAGCTAAACCGAACTTTTTACATTTTACATCTTAATGTTTAGTTTACCAGCTTTGGAGTAGGCCTACAAAGTTTGAGTAGTTCAGTTGTCCTCAAGGGATCTATTTAATGAAGTCTTTGAGGAAGTTGAGGGATTAGTCATCTAATGCATCTTTGTAACATCTGCAAATGTCACCAGGGAATTGTGTGACCCAGAGCAGACTCCTGTAGGTAATTGAATAGCCCATCTTCACCTGGATTTGAATTATATTTCCCAGATTTCTATGCAATATCTGTCCTTCACATCTGAGTTGTTTGAGGGTTTTTTTTCTGTTTTTGTTGAGCAAAACTGTGTAGAGTTGTATGAATTTATTGCTTGTCTCTAGGGAGGGATGAGGGAACTAATTGGGAAATATGTTTGAAATCCAGACAAACAACAATCTCTTTTTGAGTGAGAGAAAATACCAGACTTATAAATTAGCAGTTTGTCCAGAAAAAAAATAGTTGGTTACTTTTTTCAAATTAGCTTTCTTACAATAATACATTTATTTGCAAGAAATCCTTTGAACACTTTAGGCGAACCTTTTCTTGAGTTTGTTTTGTGACTTTCACCCGTGAGGGGCAGAGAAAGGTAAAGACAGTCATCTTCATCTTCTGTAAACATTTAAGAGCATTTGGCCACTGAAAAGCTTGGTTTTTTGAAGAGAAGGCAGATGAAAGGCAGAGAAAATGAACAGAAGGCAGAAAACTCTGTGGACCTTGGTACTTGTAAATGGTGCAGTGGGGGGGAAGGTGGTTTGCTAGGAAGTGCTGCCTTTGTCATTGAAAGCTTGAACTCTGGAAGCACCAGGGGCCTCTGAAAGATAAGTGTAGAACAGCTTGTACTACTAAAATATATATTCCTCAAACTAGTGTCTGATTTTCTGACTGGCATGTTAATTTTTCTTTGTTTTTGCAGTTCAGGAAGGCAAGCTGCAAGATTGTTCTCCATGCCTCATTTAGTGCAACAAGAAACAACGCTTGCATACCTGGAGAACCAGATAGCAGCAGCACTTACGTTACAGTCCAGTCATGAATATCGCCACTGGCTCCTTATCTATGCACGGTACCTAGTTAATGAAGGTGAGGCCTGCCATGCTGTGCTACTCGTTTACAGCTCTGATGGGTTTTTAGGAAATGTTCTATTCACGTCATGTCTGTGTATGATTGCACTTAATGTTCTCCTGTAGTACTCGGCTTCTTCACTCAGTGTTTTCTTAAAAGTAAAACAAACTGGTGAAGTGCATTTGCTTCCTGTAGTGCTCAGTACTGGGGAATCATGTATTGACACACGAACCGTAAACAGATCACGGGCTGGGGAAGCAGTGCCATCTGTGGACTTCAGTAGGTGGGAACTGTGTTGTGAAAAAATCCAGTGGTCTGTCGGGCGTATCGTACGTTTTATCTGGCAGCAACTACGGTCGTTTCAGAGACGTTGTAAAATATACAATGTATTCCTCAGGCAACTGATGATCACTGCCTGATGTGAAATGGAAGAGTTCAGAGTGGCAGATCAGAGTGTCAGGAGTGTCAGATCTCTGACTCTTTGTACCAGAGCACATAAAACTGCAGAGAATTTACTTGTGCTACGTGCACTTTGTACTTTTTTTACCTTCTAAAATCTCAACAGCCTGTACTTGTGGGCTGCCTAGGTTAAATTCCACAAGGAAAGAAGCCTTACAAGAAGGGTTGCTTGTGTATTTTATATTTCAGTATATATCTCTATGCTATTATATTCAGTGTTTGCCAACAAACTTGATGCTCCTTGGAGTCTAAAGGTCTCTGTTATGTCTCTGCTTGTCTGCATTCCAAATTTAGTAGTTGCCATTGTATTAATTCAGACTCATCATGCATAATCATTTTACACAGAGGGAAGTGAAATGGTTCGTGTTAGGCCACCGAATAGGTGTTGCCAGAATTAAAATTGAGCTCATTAATTCCTGCCTTTTAACCCTTACTTTATTTAACAAGAGAGCTTGATGAACTGTGTATGATTCTCTCTGTTCTTTCCAAGTTGAAATTAAAATATTCATCTTGGGTCATCTGTTAAAGAGACAGTTATCCTTTTAAAAGTCTTCACTAATTCAGAACCTCCCTATTGTATGTGTGGAGTTCATCTTGCTCTGGGCAAATGTCACCGCCTTGCATGTGTGTGCACACTGGATGTCACTGCAAATTCGATATTCGATCTATTTTACCTTGGCAAATTAGTCCTGAATGGATGGCTTTGTTACTTGCAAGGGAATTCCCTCCTCTGATTTTTGTGTGAATAAGGCTGGTTTGGAAACTGTGTGCGGTTTTATTAAAGGTTCTCTTTTACTTTTTTTTAACTCTTGTGCATATTAATTGGATCCCTTTTAATTTCGTTATAAGCTCTTTTGCTAAGGGTTTAGGAGATCTCTTCTAGTTTAGGAATATTTTAATATTTCAGAAGGATGTCTGATCTTTTGGTTTGGTTTTGTTTGGTTTTTGTGGGTTTTTTTAATACTGACTTCATTTTTCCGAATTCATAGATTGCCATTAAATGCAGCATAACAACTTTTCCCTTCCACTGGTTTTCATCTTGTGGCTTTCCAGCTCTTGTGGTCTATCTCTTCTATTAGTTTCCTGGCTATTGAAGTCTGTCAGTTTTCCAGTTCTTTGTGTGTGTGTTGGTTTGGTGTTGGTTTTGTTGTTGTTGTTGCTGCTGCTGCTGGGTGGGTTTTTTTAAAGCTGGTATCTTTATGTGGGAGAGGGGGAGCGAGGTTGAGATCATGGCAGCTCAAGCTAGAGTAACTACTTCAGGTTTTTCTCTCTATTATAGATAATCTTCAGTAGTGTTTTTTGTTTTGAGAACTTGAAATAAACCCCTTTGGAACTCTAAAATAAATCCTTTACAAATCGTCTTATCTTTCCAAAGATTTACTGTTAGAAGAATAATGATATTCTTTTTCAGAAATAAATGGTTTGGGCTTTATTTTATTATAGATACTTTTAACTGTTTCCTGAATGTTGTCAGTTACATTGTGGAGTGATTATATATTGTGAAATGCTTATGAATGTGACTTTATTTTCTGATAATATTCAGGGTTTGAATATCGTTTGCGAGAATTATGCAAGGATTTACTGGGTCCAGTCCATTACTCAGCTGGAAGTCAGTGGGAATCAACAGTTATGGTAAGTTTAACAAAGAATGAGGAAGAGTTTCCCGTGAAAATTACAGAACATGGATAGACAGTAGAACTTAAAATATGATTAAACTTAGTGGCAGGAAAGCAATCACACATTGTTTTTGCTGGCCCTGGAATCCTTTCCATACTCTGCTCTAATCTCAGAAGCAGGCTTCCTCCCGTGGCATTTGTATTTATTTCATGTGAAACCGTAGACAAATGCTGAGTGCCACAGTCTCAGCTCTGGTGCTGTCTTGAGTATGACATAGACAGAGCAGAGTTGCGTGTTCAGGCCTCCACATTTTTCAGACAGCAGCTCTGAAATAGTGACATGCCAGTGAAACATCTTCCCTTCTCAGAGCAGGCCTGGAGTCTGTAACTGCAGAGGCTGCACCAGCTTCATGAGTATAGAAAGGTAAAGACAGTTTTTATTCTGGGAGTCACGTAAGCAGAGTAAGAACATAAAATGCACGGCTCTCTCCAGGCAGGAAAAAGGGCCTGAATCCTATTTCCAATACAAAGTAATACATTCTGAGGATGCTTTTGTGGTTTTTTTTCTGCAGGGTTTACGAAAGAGAGAACTATTGAAAGAGCTTCTTCCTGTTATTGGACAGAACCTCCGCTTCCAGAGGCTTTTCACAGAATATCAAGAGCAGCTAGACATCTTGAGAGACAAGTAGCGTTTCCCCAGATTTTCCCTGTGGGGCCTGGTTCGAGAGAAACTGCTGAACAGCATTAACCAGAGACAGAAGAGGAGCGAGGGCCCGGTCAGTGGGGACACTCCTGAAGAGAGCAGTGCCGTAAGGGTACCAGGTACTTCAGGAAGTGACCTGCTTTCGTTTTCAAAGAAGCTCACAAGTGGATTCAAGAAAATGATGAGTGGATGAGCTAGACCGTTTCCCAAGTGAAACTTAAACCATCGAAGCTGTGGCCTCTGTTTCTGTGGAAAGTCGTGGATATGTACTTCAGGGGGGTCCTTTTGGATCTGGATCTCATTTTAATATCAAAACTAGCTGAGAACTGTTTGTGGGGTTTCTTGGATGTCCTGTGAAAAGCACAGTACTTCAGAGTACATTGAACAGCATATTTTAACCCTGTGTAGGGTTTTTTGCCTGAGGATTTATTGAGGCTCAACACTATATTAAATTAGATGAATGAGCCACATAAAAAGAAATTTCATAAATACTAAGGTATTATGCAGCCAATAGACTCTTTCCTGTGAATATAATAATAATAATAAGAGGCTGTTCTAACACATGGACTATTTTTGTACTAGAATTTGCTAACTTGTAATATGGAATTTTATTTGGCCGATAATTAGGTTATCTCTACAAAGTCATCTTGTAGGAAATTTAACTCTAATTATGAAAGCTATGTTTCAGAATAATTCTACCAAATTAACACGTCATCATCCGGTTTTTAATTTTTAAATGTTTGTAAACGGCATTTTGGGGGGAGCGGGAGGGATACAATGGGGTGGCTCTTTTTGTAAGTACAAAAATAAATGAACATTGCATTGGTTTAAAAAAAAAAAACAAAAAACATGGTCTTGAATTACTGGAAAGGGCACAGGTATCTCCAGAAGTGTCAACACAGGCTGAATCGTGTTAACATGTCTAGAAATAAATAATGCTATCCCAGTGATCTTTCCTCTGAAAGCAGGATCGGGCAAGTACTGGTGATCTCCCTAGAGCAGCTACATTTTCTCTTGGAGCCACATCTCGCCTGAGGGAGCAGGAGCTGTCTGGGAGCGCTCATTATCGCAGGGAACACAAAGCAAAATGGGCTCCCCCGACCACTGCCGAAAGCAGTCAGCACTGCAACAAGAAGTGAGCTTCATGAAGTTACGGCTGTGTTCTTTGTGTGGCATTTCATAATAACAAAATAGTGCTGGTAGCCTGCAGCAGTTCGCTTGTGGAGTGGTTTTGGAATTCCACTGAAACCAAATCAGTCAACTTGTTTTCTTTCCCAAAGTGTGCTTGGTGCTGGGAAAGAAGCAAGTGTATGTGTTGGTTCTTTCCGGGAGCTAACTATTCAGGTGTGCCTCAATTTATTGCCTTACTTAGAGAAGTTTTTGAGTAAGAAAATTTGTATTGAAAGGAGTAAGTAGATTTAAGCCCTTGTAAAAAAGAACAGTTTCTCCCCTAAACTTCTGGTGGCAACAAACACTGTCCTTTGCCCTCAGCCAGGACAAGGACTGGGTGTGCTCTTGTGGACTTTGGTTGAAGTCAACTGACCCTGTTCAGACAGGTGCCTCTACAGTTAGTATCATAGAATCGTAGAATGTGTTGGGTTGGAAGGGACCTTTAAAGCCCATCCAGTCCAACCCCTGCAGTGAGCAGGGACAGTGTTACCAGATCAGGTTGCTCACAGCCCCATCAAGCCTGACCTTGAATATCTCCAGGGATGGGGCCTCCACCACCTCTCTGGACAACCTGTGCCACTGATCTACCACCCTCATATTGAAGAACTTTTTCCTAATATCCAACCTAAATCTACCCTCTTTTGGATTAAAACCATTTCCCCTTTTCCTATTGCTACATGACCTTGTAAACAGTTCTTCAAACCATATGGTTGTTGGGATCTTAGAAGGGAGGGATGTGATCTTTACTGCAACAAAACCACACATTTGGAGGGTTTAGTTGCCTCCTGTATTCAACTGCCAGACCAAATGAACGCTGGATTACTTCTTTGTACAGCAATCTTGTGTGCACACTGACCGAAGTGTTGTGAGGAGCAGTAAAACAACTGACTTAGCAGCTCTTTTTCAGTATGGCATCAGTGAGTTTTCAACAAGCAGTGGGAAATGTAGTGACAGTACGGCTTGATTCTGCATATACCTGGTGGGAAAAGTGAAGGTGATAAGGAGAGCCATCCACCCTCCACTGATCTCTAGTCCAAAACACTTAGGAGTACTATGACAACCAGGCATGGCAGAGCTGTGAATGGTTCATATGCCTATTGCAGATTAGTCTGCACTCATGGGGACAGGTGCTATATTCCTCATATAATAGAATCATAAAATTGATTGGAATATTGGGTTGTAAGAGACCTTTAAAGGTCACCTAGTCCAACCCTCTGGCAGTGAGCAGGGCATCTGCAACTACGTAAGGTTGTGCTCATCTTGTGCTCGTGTATGCAGGTAAGCAACCCACTGAAATGATTGAAACAGGAGATGGACATTGTGTCTGGGGGAAAAGGTGGGTCTGGTCCAGAGCCTGGTGCAGTCAGTGGGAGTCTGGCTATCGGCTCCCGTGGATTTTGACTCTAGACCATTCTGTGTAGGCATCTACCAGGTTTGTGGTTTAATGAGGAAAGAAGGAAGGAGCACGGATAGTTTTGGAGGTGTTTGATAAGTGAAAGCTCTGAGACAGGAAGCTGTTTCCTCCTGCCAAAGGCAAGATGTTTGGAGCCTGGACATCCTCTGTTCAGCCTTGTGCTGTTCCTGCCAGTCTGGTATTGAATGCTGTTTAATAGGATTTAAAGGTAATTAGCTAAGGGAAAGTAAGTTCTTGGTCATGAAGTCTTTGAAGAGATGCTGAAATACTTCTTACGAAGAGCTGTCTCCATGTTGGACACTACATAGGTTTTTCTGCCTGTTTTTTCTTGGGAGGGTCTGACACAGACTGACCGACCAAGAATATTATGATTTTAAATTCCATGTAAGGAAATATATTGAAATGAACATTTTTTTTGAACTGGATATTTTAACACTTTCTGCTTACATTTAGCACCTTATTTTTTCCAGAGGATGGCTGTGAAAACTGTTTTAAGGCTGTATTACACAGTCAAAGGCAGCCTGCAGCTGAATCATCGAGGAACACTTTCAGTGTGGGAGTGGTGGGAGGTTGTTTTGAACAACTCAGGAGCTTTTATTAATTAATGGTTTGGTTTGGTCGCAGAAATGGGAAGGTCCCAGGCGCGATCAGACGTTCTCACTACACCGTGGCTGACAACACCCGACAAAACTCCTTCGGGCCGTCCCCGGCGTTCTTATCCTGGCGCCGGTGAGGGAGGACCCAACGGGGGCTACATCAAAAAACGGAAATAAAACTGGATCTGTTATGTATGTGCTTCACTCCGATGGCGGCCCAACGGCTGGGATCCGCTGCCCTCCTCCCCTCAGCGCTCCCGCCATTCCCACCCCCTCAGAACGGTCCCGCCCCAGAACGCTGGAACGCAGCCCGTGTTTCCGCGGGGCGTCCTTTCGCCGTAGCACCCGCACCGGAAGGGCGCTTCGGTCACAGGCGTCCGGGCGCAGGTTGCTCGGTAGGGTCCGGAGAGCTGCGTCCCTGAGGGCCC